CCGCTATCCATTACCCACTATCCACTATCCGCTGAATTTTAACTGTTATACCAAACAAACCCTAAATGACAAAATCATAACTATTATACTAAACACCTTTAATCTTAATTATTAGTTAATAAAGATGTAGGGTTTCCATAAAAGATGGTACAAAGAAAAAATATAAACTACTCTCTTCATTCATTTTTAATAGTTTTAGTGTAACTTTTAACTTTTTATATATAAATTTTAAATAAAAATTTAACATATTATATAAATAATAATTAAATTTTTTATCAAATAAAAATACTTAATAAAAACTACATATAGGGAAAAAAATTCAATTATTATTCAAATAAGTTATTAGATTTTTATGTATAATTTATATATAAAAAATCAAAAAGTCAAATTAAAATTATTAAAATAAACCGAAGGAGTAGTTTGGATGGCAAAAGAAAAAAGTAACTTCATTGGTTAAAAGTCTTTTTCTATTTGATCTCAAGTCCTTTTTGGGGTTTGTTTTTGGCTTAATTCAAAAAATCATCTACTAACTTTCAGTTTAATTTCAATTTCATCTATTATCTTTGAATTGTTTCAATTATTTCTATTATCTTTCACATTTATTTCAATTTCATCTAGGCAGTTAAAGTTAACAGAAATCTTAACGGAAATCTTCTTAAACCTTAATACTCTAACTATGTTTTTTTTAATCTTTTAGTCCTTAAATTTATATTCACAGTAAAAATAGTTTTTATTCTTATTTTGCTAAATGTGTTTTTCAAAAAATTGTTTTATAGAGTAGACTGCTTTCAGTCCACCCTGTAAAATTATTTAAATACCCTTAATTCTATTTTTATATTATTTTTTATGAACATTTAAATAATTTTATAAGACAGATTGTACACAGTCTGTCCTATAAAACAGACTTACTCTTAAAATTTCTTATTCTGAACTTACTGAATTTCTCTATCTAAATTACAATCTATCTCTATAAACTATTTTTTTATTCATCATATTTTATTAGGATTTAAGTGTCACTTTTTTAAAACTCAAAGGATTGCTCTTTCTTCAAATCTAACGGCAATCTAACGGCAATCTAACGTCCTCTTTGTACGGTAGACTAATTTGAAATATTTTTTGAAGTTTCTAGATCATTTAGAAATGAAACAAACTTTCTAGATTAAACTGAAATTAAACTGAAAGTTAATAGATGATGTTTTGAATTAAGCCGTTTGTTTTTAGGTGATTTCCTTTTTCATCCTTCAAGATTATTATCCCAGATCCTTTTTGCTCCAAAAAAAAAAATCATTTTTGTCCTCTTAACAATTTAACAGATGACTTAAAAGGATCGAGAAAATAACATTGAGGAATAAAAAACGAAATTTATTTAATGGTTAAATGTCAATTTTAGTCAACTTTTTATTTTGAATTTTTTTGGTCCCTAAATATTTTTTTATACTTTTTTGGTTCCTAAATTATGAAAAATATATTTTTTTAGTCTTTTCATTAGTTAATCTATTAAGTCTATTTAAATATGTACATTTTTAATCTCTAAAATTATAATAGATGTACAATTTTAGTCCTTGTATAACTTTATAGATTAAAATTATACATATATGGACAGACTTAACGAGTTAATAATAAAAAATTTTAAAAAATATATTTGTTATAGTTCAAAGATAAAAAAAAGTGCAAAAACTAGTTCAAAGATAATACATGTTTAAAGTTGAAAATTTGGGGAATAAAATTGACATTTAACCTTAATTCAATTGAAGGACAAAGAGCAACTCCATTGACCATATAAAGGTATAGTGGTTAATTAAATAAGAGGATATTTGGCAAACTTTAAAAAGCACTTATTTAAAATGTATTATTCATCTCTCATAAATTTAAAATTTTATCAAAGAAAAATTCAAAAATTAACTTTTTAAATGAATTTTAATTAAATAAGTTTAAAAAAAAATTACATATAAGAATATCATAAAGGGATTTCATCACTTCTCAGTTCCATAAACACACAAAAGAGATATCCTAACAAGTCTGTAATGAATCTCGACACACTGATAACATGAGTGTTGAGCATGAAAAGATGATGGGAAGTTATTCATGGTAGGGAAAACACACACGTATGTTGGCCATGAAGTTACCTTAAACTTTGCCACATTTGGCGATGTAGAAAATGTGGCATTATTGTGACAGCAAATCATCGCTCTAGCGATATCAAGGGATGTAATGTTGTTACGATGATGAGCCACTGCCACTATTGATATCAAATAGGTGTTGGTTCTAGTGATGGTAGATTTCTTATAACTTCCAATGTGGACTGATGATGTAGAACAACCAGTGATAAAACAAGAATGCTAGATGGGCTCTTAATCACATATTCCCAAAGCAAGCATGACCTGGCATATACTCGGACTTAGTTCCTATTCATTTCAAATTGACCCTCAACATCATTAGTAACCCCCCCCCCCTTTTTTTATCTTAGTTGTACAATGGGAGACAACTATCTTTCATTCCTTACTCTACTCCATTTGTATATCATGCGACTCGAACTCAGGATCTCTTACTTCCAGCAGAAAGAGATAACCACTGAGCTATTTAGGTCGTTGATCATTAGTAACCTAAAAATTAGAATCATCAACGAGAACCCATAAATAAGTCACCAACGAAATAGCCAAAGAAATGGTGAGAAGAAGTAATCGCGGTTGATATTATTTTATCAATCTAGATAAATTTCTACATGCAGTGAGTAGCAACAATTGGGATAGATTGATGCTTGATTTTTTTATTGTTGATTTGCATGATTAACTAATCTCAGTGAAAGGGCATTATAAGAATTTGACTGGCATTGAAGCAAAGCCTTTTTCCCCAAATTCATATAAAAATCCAACTAAATCAACAATATCTTGGAATTAGAGGAAATAGCCAATTCCCTCATCCCTCACATTCCTTCAAAGTCACAAAATCTGAAGAAAAAATAATAATAATAAAGTATACAATTAAAACAAGAGAACAAATATAAAAGTGAAATTGGAATTAAAACACTAAACAAAGATATATCATCAATCAATCTCAGATTTGGCTTTTGTTGCCCTCTGAAACCTAGCCTTGATCTTCTTCTCCTCCAAGTTATCAATCGTCCATCCTTGGTTAAGTCCTTTTGGCACTTATCTATCTTTGATTGAGATTCATGGCCAATCGAGAACAACAATAATCAACACCTCATCCCATTGTTGTCATCAGCATTCTTTCTAATTCTAAAATATGAGAAAAATAATAAGAAAGAATTGAGGGTTTTGTTGGAATTAAATAAGCTTAGATTTTGTTGATTTTTTTTTTTTTCGTACTAAACCCTCAGGCAAATTTGGAAGTTACATTGAACCCTGATTAATTTGGAGTTAAGTCACATCAAATCCCATAAGAATAAGTTCTTTCAATACATATTTCTCTATTTATAAAACTTAAACTCGAGACCTTATTTACAAAAAAACTAAACACCTTTCATTTGAAGTAACACGTCATTGGTTAGCTTAGGTTTTGGTGATTGGAGAGGAAGACTAGAAGAGAGAGCAAAAGATAAAGAAAGGAGAAAAAATTTCTTGTATTTACTTAATAAATAAATTTAAATTAATATAATGACAATTATGTAATTAAACAAGCACAACTGTAGAAAATGCATATTCATACCAAAATTTCGGTTCAAATAACCAAGAAATCAGTCCGAAATAATATATACGGACCAATTTTGGTCCATATAGTTGATCCGAAAAAACATGGTATGAAATAACAAATATATAGATCGAAAAATAATTGGTCTGTAAATTTTGCTAAAAAAATGTTGGCTGCAATTTAAAAATTGAAATTTGCGGACCATTAATGGTCTCAAAATAATGAATATAATCAAATAACAACATATTTACGGATCAAAAACAGTCTGAATATTTAGGGAAAAGTAGTTACAAAAAATATATTCAGATCGGTTTTCGTTTGAATCTACTAGCCTTAATTGCAACTTTTAAAAATTCTAGAGCTAATATGTCCATTTGAGTAAAATATATCCAGACCATTAACGGTCTGAATATAGTGAACTCAAATGTAAATTTGAAACGCATGCAACCCATATTGTCGTCAGATTGAAGTATATTCAGATCGTTTTCAGTCTGAATATATTGGACCTAGATGTAAATTTTGAAATGTATGCAGCCCATATTGTCGTCAGATTGAAGTATATTCAAACCGTGTTCAGTCTAAATATATTGGACTGACATGTAAATTCTAAAATGTTTGTTGCCCGCATTGTCGTCTGATTGAATTATATTCAAACTATTTTCGATCTGAAATTAATGTTTTTAACAATAAAAAGAAGAAAACAAAACAATAATTAAATAAAATATATTTATTTTTCTTATTAATTACACAATATTATCAAATGCAAAATTATATTTTACAAATAAAATATATATATTTAGAAAGAAATAAAATAATTTTGTACTAATTTCTTAATATAATAACTAAAAACATGTATAATATTAATTACATTATATTTAAACTATAAAACTAATAAAAATAAGTTTCAATCTTATTTTATGTGATAAATTATTATAATTACACAAGAAAAATTAAATTAATACCAATTATTTTCATTTTAGATAAATTAAAATTTTAGGTATACAACTTATAAAAATTTTAAGAATAATTAAAATTTTAGATAAAATAAATTTTAATATAATATAATATTGGTAATTTAAAAAAAATCAACAACAATAATTATAATTGGAAATATAGAATAATAAAAATATATATCAATGACAACCGTATAAGTAAAAATTAAATAATATATAATAGAAATTACAACAAAATAAAGAAAAATATTTATTAAATCATTACATATACCCCATTTACTTGAAATTTTCTTCATTTCCTACAAAAAAAAAAGCATAAATATAAAAGAAAATTAAAAAGAGTATTAAAATAAACATATATATAAGAGAAAATTTAAAATTCACCAAATTTTCATAATATGTAACCTACAAAAAAAGAAAAAGAAAAAGAACTTAGTAAACAAAATATAAACAATAAAAATATACCAATATATATTAAAAAACAACATAAAATTCTAAAAAAATTCATAACATGTTTATGGAAGAAAAAAAAATGGACAGTGGAATAAAAGAGATGGTAAAGGACGGAAAAATCAAAGGGAAAGAAAAGAGGGAAAACAATAATAGGTGAAGAGAAAGAAGAGAGGAAAGAGAGGGGAAGAGAAAGAAAAGAAGAAGAAAAATAAAAGGAGAGAAAAAAGAGAGGAAATAATTAAGAAAGAAGAGGAAGGAACAAAGTAAAAGAAACCAGAAATGGACGAGAGGAAGAAGAGAAATAAAAAAATTGAGGATACGGTTGGAAGGTTGTTGGTAATATATAGAGTTTATTCAGATCAAAAACGGTTTGGATATAGTAAATGAGCACCAATCCACATGCATCATAAAAGTTTAATTTTTGGGAATTTTGGTGACACAAATTTACGGACCGTAATTGGTCTGCAAAAATAATTAAGCACCAAATCAACCAAAAGATTTTAGATGCCGATGAAATTTTGGCGGAAAAATTTACGAACCTATTTCGGTTTATAAATAATCAAATGAGCGCCGGCCATT